TTGTCTAAAATGTTTAGAGATCAATCGCTTCAAAAATCGTCCGAGAAGAACAAAGCTAAATCTAAATAACAAAAAGTAAAAAGAATATTTGATTACGTTGCAAATCTCTATAGAGATGTGCTTTTATCGCGCTGTATACAGCGCGTGAAAGCGATGCAGCAGCAAAAAACTTCTGAATATATAGTCGGGATAAATGGATTACATTTTGCAATAAGGAACCACTATCTTTAACTCTTCCTTAAAAACGCATATCTACATACGGAAGCCTATGGCACTTATGTTGTTTCAAAAATGAGCTAGAAATAGTGGTTCCTCATCGCAAAATGTAATCCAAATGACCTCACACTAGTAAATGTGCCAAATTTTGATGGGTGTGCGTCTTTATTTTAAGAAATATTGACTTAGATGAAACAACTCTAGCCCAAACCTAATTGACAAAATTTACGCGCCAAGATGAGCTTCCGATGTCATTATTACTACCCTTCGTACGTAACGCTGCATTTAACTGTCTCTCTTAATCACCTATCTTAGAAAACGTTGCATCGTCCCTATTTATTAAACCCGCCCCTCGTTCAAAACGGCAATGGCACCCACCTATACGTCATCCACCGGCGGCGCGGGTCGTAAAACTTAACGAGATTTGTGGCCGAATACATGAATAAATTTGCCCGGCGCTTCCAAATGCAAATACTTTAGTTGTGCCCAAAGTTTTTAAAATTAATCCCCTCCCCGTCTTTGTGGCGTTACTCCGGGATTTTTATGCGCTCCTCATTCCAAACGCTGCGTGTGCCTTTATTTGTTTAGTTTTTGAGTTTTATGTCGCCGCCGACGGATTACAAGCTTTATGGCAGCGTTGCCGTTTCTGCGGGATTTCACCCGTCATTTCCACGGGAGGCAATACAAAGTAGATGAATATTATCTCCGGAACGGCAATCTCGCCCACCGACGATTTTGCGTGTGATAATATGTTTGCGACGAAAGTTTGCAGACGAATATTTTCGGTTGAGGGGTAGCCTTTGCCCCACCCTGTAACCGGATATAGGCAACTACTTAGACGGTTTTTATATCCTTACAAGCTAACAGTTTGTTTCGACCACTTCCTTTTCGTCCCGCGTGGAATTACGATTTCATTGCTATTGTGTCGTTGAAACGCGTTTTCCTGTGGCAGTTCCTTACTGGTCACGTTGAATTTCACCTAGATAACGTGTTTTTTACCAGCCTAGACTACTTAAATGAAACAAGCAAGTAAAAATCATATCTTGAAAATCAGCTTGAAAATGAACGTTCCTTTCAGGAAACTATCATTTTATTTCCTGACAATCAGAGGCGTATTTTCACCCATGAACGCTACGCAATGTTTACTAAGTGACGGCTTTATGCAACCTCCGCGCGTTGATCTCTGTGTAGCATGTAGGAAAAATGAAGGCACTCAGCTATTCTTATACATAAATTAAAGCGATTTATTTCTAAATTATCGTAACGGTGATCGTAAAAAAAGTTTGCGCCGCTTTTTTACTGTCACATTTAAAATGATTTTTTGCTGCGTCAAGTTGGGGCAAGTTTATTACCTACCTTTTATTTGCGTGTTTAAGAAACAAGGCATATTAATTTGGTTTCCATGCTCAGATACCTACTTTAAGAAATGTACCCATTCACTTGGCTCATATTAGGTGAACACTATATTTACATCACTTACGGCTCCCAGCTGTAAAGTTATGAAAAGTCCTTGATTCCCGTATTTCCGCGCTTATAATTTTATATTTTAACAAAGGCAGGAAGAAGCCGCAGAAATATCAGGAGCGCAGCGACCGCATTGCTTGTTTAATTAAAGAAAGTTAATTTTGGCCTGTCATATTTTTAGGTCACATCCGAAAGTTTACTACGACCCAGTGACCTTGTTATCTTATCTCGTCTGTTTTGTTTTCTCGGAAGAAGCACCCTTTGGAAGGTCGAAGAACGGCGAGTAGTAAGCGAATACCTCTATCACAGTCACTTCGGAGCCAGGCAGGGGTAGGGGGTGGGCAGACTCACAAGAGAGGAGCGTTATCTGATGAAAAACACGTTCAACCGCTACGCGGTTGCATCGCTCTGAAACCGTGTCTCTCTAGGCTGCGTTGCAGGTTGCCTAACTGCAACGGTCCGTTGACTGTAATTCGTTACAATTCGAGTATCGGTTTTAATCTCATGAGCTGATTTATTGGCTACGTCATCTCTCACGACATCGGAAGATTCTGTTTAAAAAAAAAAAAAAAAAAAAAAAAAAAAAAAAAATTAACATCTCACTCAGCCGTGAATAAGACAAGGTTATTCTCACGTCTGTTTACATTAAAACCATCGAACAGAGATGCGCATTGAATGACGTAGTCACATGTGAAAAAACCCTAGCCCCTCCGCTCCTAGTTCAGCCCAATGTAAACAAACAAGATGGCGGAAAAGTTCTGCAAAGTTCTAGACGTGATTTTGGGTGTGATGGAATTTTTTTTACATCCAACTTCTGTATTGAGTTCGGATCGAACTCTGATGAATATATTTTCCAAAAATTAGGATTTGAGTGTGATTATCATTCATTTCTCAGCCAATAATGCGTGCTCCTCTGGGTCGGGTTTGTTTACATCGGTCCAACTTTGGAGCTCCATGATAGCCTGAAACTAATGAACCAATCAGAGTGCGGCACGGAGATGGCAATGCTCTCCCGTATACAGGCACTCTAGCGAAACTGACCTATTACAATTCATGATACAGGACTGTTTCCCACAGTGTGATATTTGTTGCCGACGGGACTTGAGAGTCTGCTCCGTCTCAAGAAGCTCAGAGATGCGGCAACTTGGGAGAATTAACTCTGCAGATTTCAGGAGGAAACTAGTTAACGGCCCAAGTTTCCGTCGGGATTCGCCGGAACCCGCGTCGCTTACTTAATTAAAATGCTAAAAGCCCCGGCCGTAAACAGGAGGAAACGCATTTCCGGCCTTTTTCGCGCGATATAAGTTTGCTTTACTCCATAACCTACGGGAACACCGGGCCTCCCTCCAAGAAATGACGTGCAGCTGGGAAACAAAGGCTTTCAGCATCTCGTGCAGAAAGCTGTTGTCAATACTACCACCTGAATGTTTCGCTTGGGAACTACCCCTGAGTTCTGTAACGTTCCACAGATGGCAAGGACGTGCCTCGTCTACCTTCAGGTACCTTAGGTACCTTTTTGGTCTCAAGAGGTGTGGAAGAGGCGATTGAAGCGTATCATATCGACTCTGAAAATAGGAATGTTATCATCATCTTTGAATTACGGAATGCTAAAAACGTAGGTTTCGTTCAACATTACGGACCGTAACTTGGAACGTAAAGATACACTTAGGGGTAACTTAGTGCAACAATTCGTCGCTTGGCTGACAAAGGGGCGAAACTACACATTGAGATGAGCCCGAGAAATCATTGAGTTAAATGGACGATATGAGGCTCATCCAGTGGCGTGGCGTGAATGATCGATTATCGATATCTCGCCATTTGGAGTTATGGTAAAGAATCGATTACTAAGGTGTTCGCTGCGAACACTCTAATAATCGATCTTTTTTCATAGGCTTAAGTGGCGTATCAATCGATATGTCGCAAAGCACGCCACGCCACTAGGCTCATTGCGAAATGCAGTTACGCCTTTATTTCAGGAGGGCGACGAATTGTGAGTCTATACCTTGTTAGAATCCAGTTAGAAATACCAGTCAGATAATAATTATCAATTTTTTCCTCTAAATTTTAAATTGTATAATTACCTAACTTTATAATAATAGTGTAAATAATTTTTGATAGTTAATAATTAATAATTTTTAATAATTTAAAATAGTGTAACCCCCCCCCCCCCCCCCCNATTTAGTCTCCACTCTTTACGGACTCGGTTTGGGCCTGTCTGCAAAGAGCCTCTCTGGAAAACCCATCTGTTTTTGAGGGATTCTAAATATATGTAGTAAAAATAATTAGAATAAATAATTTGAAAATCAAATTTGATTCCTGAATCATATACGTGTCGTAAAAACTACCTATATGCACGAGTTGTGCTTAATTTTTGGCGCGGAGTCGCATAACTTCCTTTAAGGGCCAAGAATTGCTTTGCCGATTATTGGTTTTAAGTTTTCCGTGTTTCCAATGATTGATCACGTTTCATTTAACGGCGCATCACTTTCCGCCTTTGATTATGCAAATTACGGGGCGGAGTTGCTTCCCGGTTTGAAATTCATTACTCATTTTTCTCGGCATCTCTTGTCCTACTTTTTTCTTTGTTTCTCGACCCAAGTCCCACGGAAAACCGACCTGCATGGATTTGATTACCGAGCTAAGTCGAGTTGCCGATTTTTCAAGGTTTCTGATTTTTACATAAAATCAACTTAACTTTATTGATTTGGTTGTCCACGTGCATGTTCACTCTTTTTTATGATTCGCACTTCTTAATATAGCTTTCGGATATTCTCAAGATTCCGTGACTGAATAATACACGGTCATGGAGCATGCCTCTTAACTGTTCCATAGTTTAAGGCGCTGGGAAGCAACTATTTTAACCTCTGCGTCGGTGAAAGTGTATCAAAAGCTAATTGAAGGCGCTCACGATAAACACGGTTTGTGGTTCAGGTTTACAGATAGCTCATTCGAAGCAAATAGAGAGTGCAAAAGAGAATGCTTAGGCGCACGCTACTAATAACAATAAAGTGGACGAAAGTAAACCTCCCGTCACTATTTTGCCCTACAAGTATGAAATATAGAAGTTTTCTTTCACGTTTTAAAGAATTACTCTTAAAAAAAGAGCAATCTACGAACGCAAAATCGAGTCTAATAGGTACTTATTAATTATTAATCGTAAATCATGAATCTGCATTCAGACTAACACTTTTTCTTTCTCAGCTGCAAAAAGTATTAATGTAGGAATCGAATGTACATACAAATCATTGATTCACTAAATTATATACATCACTGTCTTTGCCGAAATTAAAGGTGCGGATATTTCAATGAAACGAGAAAGATTTGGAGAAAGGTGTATATGAAATCTATGAATTTCACATTATTACGAGAGTCCTAGGAGAAAAATACGTAGATGAAAAGTGTAATAATAAAACTGAAATACACAGTGTGGATTGTAGAACTTCCATTTGCAGGGTCGGTGTAAGCAGGAGGTGGTACCTCTTTGGCCGTTGTTAAAAGAACAGAGGCTTTTGGGCGCAGGAAAAATCCATTCGTTGATACCTTATCGCTGAAAATAAAATGAAAATTTAAAATGAAGCTGCAGATGTCGCGAGCAAACATCATCGTACATATGTGTCGATGCCTTAACGTCCAAATATATGTGTCTCCGATTGCGATACATTGTACGTCTCCACTCATGTTTTATTTCTTGCAACGAAAAACTGACCATGATTCTTTTTTTTTAAATTTTCTGTACATTGCCATTTTCTGGTTTTTGGAAAAAACATACAAAATTGCATGGTGAGATTTTGATTAATTTTTCTTGAAAAAGGTAAAATGTAATAAAAAATTGTTGAATGATAAAATTGAGGAGTTTCCGTATTATATACTTTGGAAATATGAATAATAATCAATAAGCGTTGTGCTTGTCCGGCTGTGTTTTGTGAGTGGAAAAAGAATGTGTTTTTGTTCTATACAAGTATTTGGAAATCCAATAATTTTTATCTATTAAAATAGAGACCTATAATTTGGCTTTCTCTCTTTTAATATGTTTCTTTTGGAATGTGTATAGGTATAATTTTCTCTCAAAACAATGTTACTCCTACTTCATTGCAAACGGTGGTGGAAACCCAAGAGAAAAAACTTAAACAATCTCGTTTTATAATCATGTACTAATCGAACTTTAAGTATTCCTATTCGTGTTATATTCGTGCAAATACTTATGAAATGGTTGTGAGTAAAATAGTATGCGGAATATGAATTCGTTAATCGATTGCATTTTGTCTGCATTTGCAGTCTTTGAAAGTTACCTCGCGGAAGCTCATATGATGGTTTGAAAATAAATAACTTACTTCGGTAAATACTGGCTGTTGACGCTGCTGGTGTGAACCGTTAGAACATCTGGTAGATCACTCATAAATGCCAAAAGATCAATTGATTGTGAGTCACTTCCCAGATTAACCACCACAACGTAAGCTTCACTTCCTTCCAAGCGCCTATGCAAAAATAGGAGATCATAAGATAATTTATAAGATCGCTTGTGTATACGCTGGTTCTTGTTAAATAAAGAGGCACAAATAAATCAAAGGGCCATACAATTCACATGCCTTTACTGGCTCAGAAAGGTGTAATGTTTGCACATGAATTACGAAAAGTGGCTCGAGAAAAACCAAATTGAACGTGTGCCTGACACTCAAACGACGGGCCAATACCCTATCTCCTACCTTCAAAGTTCCGAAAATTCTCTAAAAAGCACGATCCAACCCTGGTATCAGTGGCGTGGCGTGCTTTGCGATGTATCGATTGTTATGCCATTTAAACCTATGGAAAAGGATCGATAGGCTGGGTGTTCGCAGCGAACACCTTAATAATCGATTCTTTACCATAGGTTTAAATGACAGAACAATCGATACATCGCAATTCACGCCACGCCACTGCCTGGTATTCGTCCGGCATGACCTACCTAACGAAAGCGAAGACATACTTCGTGAGGACGAATGTTTCCAAATCACCGTAAAGTATGGTGTCTGTTTTGCGAACGCTCATCAGTCTTTTATAGACTTTCCAGTGGCTGTTTTCACCTGCTTGCATCTGCGCCTTCAGATTCAAACGCCAGAAATTCGAATTGACTGGGAGCCAAGTTTTTCTGTTCGTCGTAAAACCTATGAAAATTCACAGAATGTATGAGAAACCAACGTCTTATGAATAAATAGCAGCAATGCACAATTGCACACCCACCCGATGAATAATGTCATTCACTGAAATAATTTTTGTTCTGTGGATTATCCCAAATTACAATGAACCCTGAACCTACCATCTTGGCTCGCACAGGAGGTCTGTTGCTAATTTTTGCTGGAGAACAAAGATTAGTCGCTCATTATGGAAGATGTCTGAATGACCACGATGAGTTAATTGAAAAAATCTAAATCCACTCCTAAGCCTAACTTGACAATCTCTGTAAAAAATGTGCGCATTTTTTTATCTTTTTGCTTCAAGGAATATACTAAGGCCAAGACGCAGTTTGATACTTTCGAGTCATCCTAATTTCACAACTTCACTCGAAACTAAAAATGGCCGCCGTCAACTGTAGAATTTTTTTTTTTTTTTTTTTTTTTTTTTAAAAAAAAAAAAACTTTAAAAAAGAAAGAAAAAAGACACCTGCGATTGAAGGGCTTGGAGGACAAAGCTCCTAATTGCAGTTTTTGCTATTTCGAGAAATACGCGCGTGTTTGAAGTTTCGAGACCACGTGGATCCTTACGGCAGAAAGAATGTTCAAACTGACTTTTTGATGCTTAAAAATTGGAATTTGAGAGCGAAGTTTTCACAGAATATACATTAAAACTAATTTTGCTTGAAATCATTAATACCTCAATTTTTCCAAAAAATGCTCTTAAGCGCCGTGTACTCCAAACCCCTCAATTCTATATTCTTATCTCTCAAATTTCTTGGTAGATTAATTTAGCAAACCTGAATTCAAGGAAGTGTCCCACTGGAAGGGAGTCCTGGCCGGGTCACGCGATTTCTGGCTGTACCACTCCGGGCCGCCATGACAGGCCTGCGGATCCACACCCTGATCGAATCGGATTACCGTATCGTCCATGCCGATCTCGTCGCCGTAGTACGTGTTGCCTATACCGGGCAAGCAAAGCCCGATCATGTTCACGCCGTCCACTAGATCCGATCCATACCGCGCCGCCACCCGTCGGTTATCGTGGTTACCCATCTATTACAAGTGAACACAAGAGTGATTCACAATTGGATTGCATTTTGCAAAAAGGAACCACTAGCATTGCAATGATGCTAAGATTGTGCAACTTCATCTTTTGCAATAAAATTTCGGAAATCGTGAAAGACTGTGAAATTTCGATGGTAATTTTTGTCTTAAATTTACAGTTTTTAGCGAGTAAAATAGAAACTATTAATTAATGGATAATCGGGTTTTTCCTCCAAGACAAAAGAAGTTGCACAATCTTAGCAACATTGCAATTCTAGTGGTTCCTTTTTGCAAAATGCAATCCAATTGATATACGAGATTCTCAAACTAAAAATATAGGGTGTCCCAGGATTAAGTACGAATATTGAAGGAGTCGATTCTTTGTCGCCTCCATGACGCAAGGGCGTATTTCTATTTCCAAAAATGCCCCAAAAAACATATGGTGTAATGGAAAACATGGTTCACGAATAAATTACGTTTCACGATTCAAATCTTGAATATAGAGGCATAACAACTTGTAAAACTTGACATTGAATGTTATTCATTTCATTTTACTTAAGTAACTTGTCTGAAAAAAAGAACAAATTCTGAATTTCTGCTCTCCAATCTTCCCCTTTTAAGTATCATCGAACCATGTGATTATGTCAAATTTTCTTACGACGTATCAGCTTGCCATCAAAAGAGACGCTGAAATTATTATAATCATACGAAGAATTCGCATTAATCTGAAAAAACGGAATTCAGTGGCGTGGCGTGCTTTGCGATGTATCGATTGTCATGCCATTTAAACCTATGGAAAAGGATCGATAAACAGGGTGTTCGCTGCGAACACCTTAATAATCGATTCTTTACCATAGGTTCAAATGGCATAACAATCGAATTATCGATAAATCGCAATTCACGCCACGCCACTGGAATGGATAGTTACGGCATGTTTTTTCCGAGTTCAATGACCAATGACAAATGAAAAAAATTACCAACTCACCACCCAATTCGGCCAAAAGCCTGCGGGCATACTGTCCATCCAACCCTGGATTGCCTTTTGGTAATCTTTGGCGGGAGAGCGACCGCTCACGTGCGTGATGAAAAAGAAATTGAATGGCATATGGGCTCCTGGTTTCCCCTCAAACTGATAATAGTCCATTGTTCTATCGAGAGTTGTATATGCTTCTGTCATTAGTACTCTGCAAAACCAGAGAGTACTCTGATCAAATACATTTCATTTGGAGAAACATTTTTTAGATTTTCTACCGTATCCTCAAAATAGTAAAAAGTTGATACTAAATCTATGAACAACCAGATCTCAATTTTTTTTTCTTAAATTAAAAAAAAAAGAACATTTTCCCTTAAACTTCTTCTCCAATCATCGTGTATTTATCAATTGAAATAGGGAGATTGAGACGTTCCAGTCGGAAAATATTTTGTTTCTATAACCAGACGGTTTGTAAATAAGCCTTCGATAAGATGCCCGTAGTAAATTAACGTCTATTAGAGACAAGTTTTTAAAAAAAATATCGAGATTTTTAAAAGCTACATGAATCAGTGATTACTAAAACTTGTTCTAGTTATTCTGCATCATGTAAAAACTGCGAACGTATAACTTGAAATCAGGAGATACACTTTTGCGATGGCTAATTTCATGGATGGAAGGAAAAGACCATGGACAGAACAGGATGGAGGCGCGTTGTCTTGGAGGCCAAAGCCCACCCCGGGCTGTAGCGCCAGTAGTAAGTAAGTAAGTAATTTCATTGAACCGGCCCTGAAGTATTACGTAACGTAAGATTTACCATTAGAGGTGAATCCAGCAATTTAGCAACACAGGATTTTCTCCATTTAAACAATCGATTCTTGTCGGAGCACCTGGCCCCTCCAAGAATCGGTACATATCCATAGGTTTGAATGGAGGAAAGACAATATTGCTAATTTGCTGAATCCGCCAATGTTTCCCATTAAGATAAATCTCATTATCCTTTAGTAATCTATATAAAATTCTCTTTCCTGAACATAAAGTTCAATTTTCTCTGATGCATTCATCCTTCTGTTCCCTCTATACGGAGAAAACAGATTCGTTGGATATACGATGCTTTTTGTCGATCACAGGTCCCACCCACGTTCAAAATCGTAATTACGATGTTACGTTCACAGTAACATTGTAACTTTAAGTAGGAAGAAGGTAGGAGCTGAAATCCATCATGAGCTTTTTTTAAAAAAAAGGAACCATTCTCCTTTTTCCGTGTTATGCAATCTGACTCCGCGAAACTCCATCGACTCATGCATCTTTCTCAAGTGCTACTTTATCGAGAAGTTTGCTTTTACTTACTTTGTTTTCCCCTCTTTCTTCGTGTAGAAATCGAAGACCTCCCTGAACCTTGTTATCAATCTATATGTATTCGGTTGGTCCATCGTCCGCGACCGGTTGTAATTCCAGTAGTTCGTCGGGTCGAGATCGGGCGAGAGCAATTCTTGGTCTCGCCATTCGGGATCTTCGAACAAGTAGGCCACCGCGTCGAACCTCATGCCGTCCACTCCGCGCTCCAACCAGAACCTCACCACGTCCTGTCGAATTGAAACGAAGACGAAACTTGCACTCAATAGAACTTTGTGTCATGAAATATATCTCCTGAGTAAAACAAGGCGAAGTATGTTTCGATCGCACGAGGAGGAGGAAACACACAGTCGAACCTCGATAACTCGAGAATTTCAATAACTTAATAAAATAACGTGGTTATTCCCTTCCGCCAAAGGCAAAAAATCTCGATAATTCAAAAAAATTGTTCCGTTAAGTCGAAGATATTTGGACCGCGTTAAACAGAAAGGAACCAAACCACATCAGCTATTGCCAAATTTAATTGGGCAAGTTAATTTTTTTCGCGAAAGCGGTTGTGCGGATTTTCGTGCAAATTTCAGGGAAAATTCTCCATAATTTGAAGAAAATTCCTTAAAAATTTCAAAGGAATCCGCACGAACGATCTCTCGTAAAAAATTAAATTGCACAGTTAAATTTGGCAATAGCAGATGTGGCTTGGTTCCTTTCTGTTAAACTCTGTCCATTTTGGGCTCATTTCACCACATGAACTGAAAAAACCGGTGAATGGGCCTGTTGCAAACTTTTGCTAGAGCAAAACTAAGAGTTGTTTCTTATAGATAATGCCTCAAAAATCACGATGAGCGCATTGGCAAAGTCTGGAATGCACTCATAACTTCACAGTCTGCGTAAGAAATTTGCGGTTTTTCGAGCTTCCCGCTTCAAAAACGATACTACGGCACAGGTGAACATTTTGTAAGAGGAGTCGTTCCATCGTCGGCAATACTCATCATGGCCGACGCCAATCCGCCAAAACACGTTTGATGGGACGGAGATAACACCTGAACTGGATTAGACCAGATAACAATCGGTGTGTTAACGTTCATATTTTCCACGCCCGAATTGATTGACATTGAACTCTCCTCGAATTACGCGCGGAACTGTGCGCAAGCGTCGGCCATGATGAATATCGCCGACGATGGAGCGACTCCTCTAACAAAGTGTTCACCTGTGCCGTAGTATCGTTTTTAAAGCGGGAAGCTTAAAAAAACGCAAATTTCTTACGCAGATTGTGAAGTTATGAGTGCATTTCAGACTTTGCCGATGCGCCCATCGTGATTTTTGAGGCATTATCTACAAGAAACAACTCTTATTTTTGCTCTAGCAAAAGTTTGCAACAGGCCCATTGCCTCTATAGCTCGCGGCATGCCTCCACATCTCATGAAGTTACCTCATTAACTCGAAGAACTCCGCGAATTACCTTTATATGACACCAAAGATGAAGGCTTAGACTTGGCTTAGAATCCAGGCTTAGAACAATGTCCTATCCTGGATCAGCCTATCCGCATTTTTCGGGAATATTTCATCGCTTTCCCTTAGCTTCGAGTTATCGAGGTTCGACTGTATCTCAATGTATGATTTCATGAAGTTTCTAAGACATATTATTTCAGGAAGAACTCGGTTATCATTGATTCAGCAAATGTAGCCAGAGTTTTTAGTTCAACAGTTAGTACGCACATTAACAAAGTTTCCCAGTTTTTTTTTTTTTTTTTTTTTTTTTTTTTTTTTTTTTTTTTTTTTTTTTTTTGGTACACGCTGTTATTTTATGGTCTAAAAAGAGAGATGATGATGAACAGAAAAAAGAAGAATCGAGACTTTAAGTTTAATTTTAAACCGTACTGGTACCCTATTTTTCACTCGCAACTGATAGTCTGTTATTGGACGCGCAATGATTTTGAGTCATTCTTATATCAGACATCATTGTTACTGCAGGTGTTCTTCAGAGCTCAATTCTACCATTGCGTCTTTTTCTTTTCTTTTTCTCTAAAAAAATTAAGTTATTTTTGCGATTTTCTTACTTTGAATCCTTTTTCGTCAAAGCCACGAAATTAAAGGAAAACTTATAAATAAAGAGGTAGCAAAACTGCGCACATATATCCCCTGAATTTCGTCACATTTTAAACGGGAGTTTTTTTTCTTAAAACACGAAAATACACGAAATAACTACAAATCCCCAAAAAGGCGTATATCGTGAGAGACTTTAAGGAGCGACTTAGGTATCTGCAAAATATTTTCTTTTATTTTTTTTGTTCCATTTGTTTGGACTTGTGGAATTTATTTTTAATGAATATCATGTATTTGACATCAAATTAACAAATCTTTGAAACTACGAAGTAAAGAAAATAGCCTTACCATCATCTCTTGAACCAACTCTTCGCAATCGTAATTTAAGTCTGGTTGTTTCCAATGGAACTGATGCAAGTAGTATTGATTTCTCTCCTCATGCCATTTCCATGTAGAGCCTCCAAACTCACTGAGCTATCAAAATTTGAAAATTAAACTTTAATCATGACGTTCTTACTGCTTTCAAAAAAAGAATGCAAATTTTCCATAATTTCAATTTTAAGAATTAAAACAAAAAAATAATTTAATTTAATTTTATTTGCGTGGAACAGAACGGATAGAGTTGGTACAATTCGTTAGACCTACCCTAAAAGTACTGAACATACCACAATTAATGCAATTAATGATGCAAATTATGGCTATGAATATATTTTATGAAATAAAATCTAAATTGGTGTCTCTAAAATCATGATAGAATTTGAAGTTTTAATTTTAGAATTTACAGCCAGCGATTGCCACCATGATTGCTACCTATCAAATGAGCTAAAAAGAAAATGAAAGTTTAGTTTTCTCAAATATGTCCTGCTGTCTAATGATATTATCCTAAAAATCGCATAAAGGGCAGCTGGAGAATATAGCATTATTAGATTTTTCAACTTTTGCCTTAATTATTGTAAAGGGTTTTTCTAACATTTAGTTATAATACTAAGCTATTCTTATTTTTTTTCCATTATGTAATTTTGATTTAAATTTCGTGTCGCTGTTAGGCACTTATTGCTTAGAAGAAATTTGGATACAGACGAACTAATCTTTGGGGAGGCATTTTGATCGCTACAACTGGCAACCTATTGTAACCTCTGTTTACATTTAAAATTTCATTCAATACTTCAACTTTTATTATAACATATTCCTCATTTCCAAGCTGGATAGATTTTCAGAGATAGTAATTTTGTGGGATAAGTAGTAATTAAATTTCAGCTCACCCAATTAGTTGGCGGTTGTCTCTGGCCATTGACTATTTTTGGGTCCTTCCAGATGTAGTAGTTAGTATAAGGGTCTATTTTTTTCACAGACTTCAAGAACCAGTCATGCTGGTCACTCGTGTGGTTTGGAACGATATCCAGAAAGAGGTGAATTCCTGAATACACAATGATTGCAATTCATTGATAGTATACAAAAATTATACGATATGTATGGTCGATTAAATACTTTTTGGTGTATTTTCTGAAGGAAATACACAACTGCGTCCTTTATCCTCAAAAGGAGTATGCATATTTCTTTTTCTTTCCTCTATTTACAATCACAGTCAATCAAAGGTCGGGGATAAAATACGCGTACTTGTATGTTCGTCCAAATACGGGGATTAGTGGGTTCGAAAGCATATTATGTTCTTTCCGTCGTATTTATACATTTTTTCTTGCCAAATATTGAAGTTTTCATAATGCACAAGTCAAATTTTCACCATGTTTTAAGTTTTGCTGAAATTTCTCAATGTGATGTATTTTACAATACCAAAAAACAGTCAAAGTCATTGTTTTTCTTCGGTCAGTTTTTCTAAGAAGGTAACATGTGTTCTTAAAAAATTAAGAAATGTATCAAATTACATGATTGTTTATCTCTCAACTGTTTTGCGACTTAATTATTCGGAAAATGTTTCTTTGAGTTGACGAGTACATAGGATATATCCACATAGTATTTTCTCTGCTCTGTATGCATCATGGATTCACGCGGTGTTGCTGACAATGTTAATCGTAATAATCATGATTTCTGTCAGCTCAGCAGAGACGAGTCACCCACATTGAGTGGGAATAGGCAACAGTTTGAAATTTCACACCTCTGAAAGACTGAAAGTGAAACATTTTGAACCCTTACTTGTGGAACTGAGTAGATATTTTTTCATGGAGTTACATTTTGGTCAGAGAAAACAAACGACCAATTAGTCCTCGTTTTTTTTCTAAATGCGGATTGGTTTGTATTTAATATACTCTATCCTCTGTCTACTTAAAAATTGTGCAAAAAATACACACCTGCTTTGTATAGGGCTTCTCTCAAGTACTGAAAATCCTCCATCGTCCCAAAAAGAGGATCTAAGTTCGTGAAGTTTGAAATATCGTACCCAAGATCCAGACCAGGTGACTCTAGGACTGGGTTGAACCAAACTCCTGTTATGCCCAGATCTTTCAAATACCAAATTTTCTCAGCTATGCCTGAAATATTGAAAATAAACACTCAATATAAGAGCACAGATCTCGTAAATAGGTATCACCAATTGGTTCCTGAGGGTCACCGCAACATTCAATCATTCCAGCCCCCGCTCCTCTTCCCTGATCTTTTTCATTAATAATGTTCATCCTTTATCACAACCATAAAGATGCATTTCAGCGCGAGCTTTAAAAACGGATGAATTTTTAAGAATTTCTAAAAATTTAAATGTCTCTAGTCCGTAACAAATATTCAAGCACTACTCAAAATGGAACAAATCTAACTATTTAACTTGACATTTTTAAGAGAAAGGTAAAATGACCATTGAATTTAATATTGAGTAAATATCTCACAACATTGAAAAAAGGAAAATAAAACTTGGTGAAAATTAGTTTTGAATTACGTACCTTTTAAATCTCCAATTCCGTCACCATCGCTGTCTTTGAACGATCTCGGATAGATTTGATAGAATACAGCTCGTTGCCACCAATCGAGCTGCTTGTGATCTACGTTCAAAGCATGATAATAGTTAAATACTAAGCTAAAAATGACTGATATAAAAGCGATTTTGTACATAGTTGCGTCTCACTAAAAATTACAATGATGTGGTGGTAGTAGTACACTCAAAGATTTACTGAAAGTAGGACCCCTCCTCCAACAATTTATTTCACAGGAACTGCATATTCCAGGTGTTGGTCATCTACAAGGATAGTTACGGCTGTAAAAAATAGCACTAAAAAATGTTTTCACCATTACTGAAAAAAACGACACTTCATAGAAGGATGATTAAGTAGTTTGCATAGCTCAGGATTAACGAGCTCTCACATCGTATGCACTAAACTAGATCTTAAGAGGCACCGTATGTGGTAGAAGATCCACCAATTCTCTGGTCAGAAACTGTCAGTTGATAATTTACTGCTTATCTTGTTAATTTTAAAGATTACAGAAGCAAGGTCAATGTTTTCACATACAAATGTGAAACTGTCTTCTAGAGACTCTCAAGTTGACACACTTGTCATTTTAGTTTAATTAAGAGTTGTAGCAGAACCGTGTGAAGTATACACGTTCTCAACTGTGCTAAGTAAGAACGCCGTATCAGCTATCAAGCGTTGCTAAACTTCCTTCGACAAATCACAATTTTTCCTGGAAATTTGTGAATATTTTTCCTCCAATTTTTCACAGGATCTTGTTCGTAACTTCATCCAAACAGTCTGAAAATTTTAAGGAAAAATATTCATAACCTTCTTCAAAATTAATATGTTTTCAAAGAAGAAATTTGGCAACATTCGAATGCTCGAGAGGCGTTTTGCTTAGTGCGGCAGTATAAGGAGGAAGTGTGGAGGAAACTATTTGTGATTTTGACGGCTTATTAATCGATTCCCGTGGCATCAAGCTTTCACCCCAGAACACCCTCATGAATTAACCTTAAAATAACTTGTGGGGAAGACCAAGTCGTTTTTGCGTTCGATAGCAAACGTAAATAATTTAAAGTATATAAATAAAAAATTGGCTGTGTCGGGAAGGGAAAATAGTCGAATCAAACTGATTTTTGCCATGATAATTGACTCTTTTCGGAATATTCCAACAAATCTGTTCCAATATAAATATAAGCTCTGTCTCTTTCCCTATTCTAGATTTTGAGCGAAAGTTTCTTAAAGTTATTTGAAAATTAATTCCAATATTCTGCCTCATGAATTCAAAATTCTTTTATGTGTCATTGGCCATTCTTCACCATTTACGTCTTGTCATGACTAGGAAGCTTTCGCCAAGCTATCTCGATGAAATCTGGATAGCCTACAAACGGCAGCACGGATCGGAGCGTTGCGACTTGCGAGTTCACGCCTCGCGCCAGAACGCCTTCAATTTTGCAGATACAACACGGACATCCATCAAGCACGAATAGTTGTATCTCTGCGCCGTCATCAACGAGCGTTCTTTCCTTTGCACTATTTCCCTCTTGTGATGATTCCGTTTGATGAAATAATATATAATAAATGATTGTTGTAATCTGTTAAGTTCATCAATACTTATTGAGAAACATTGGAATATCCTCAGCATTTAAGAATCCTCTGAAGATGAAGCGTGAAAATGGACCACTAGACAAGGTACGAATTTAAGCAATCTCATACATGTTTCTCAACCAAAATTTTACGTAAAACACGATTCACAAAACGAAAATTACTGAAACTAACTCTTAACGAAGATATCAAAGTTTTTACTACACATTAGTTACGAGGAATTTGAACTGCCCGCTCAAAAGAAACTCAAAGCTCTACGTGAGTCAAATCGCGCACTACAACGGTGTCAGCAAGCTTCTCAATCGAGCAATGTTCATTTCTCACCATGTGTTGTTCAAACTATAAGCAATTTGCTATAGCTGAGCCGAAGCGTCAAGATCGAGGTTGCCAGATTTTTATATTGTAGAGACTGTCATAATAACGTTTAGCGCTCGATGTGAATCACGTAGAGCATTGAGTTTTCATGAGCGGGTGGTTTGAATTCATGCATCAAGAATCATTAAATATCTTTGTAAAAAGTAGATTTCGGTAATTTTCGTTGTGTGCATCGTATCCTACGTAAAATTTTGGTTTAGAAACATGTATCAGAATGCTGAAATTCGTACCTTGTCAAGTGGTCAATTGAGAGAATTTTATTATTTTAAATGACTGCTCTGTCATCAGCGCGCGTCTCTTTGCTCACGTCTGGTTTTGTTGTTTGGCAAAACTTTTCTACAGATCTCCTTGAGCGTTTCCTCGGAAATTTTATAGGACCATCTTGAGCAATTATAAAAAAAAAATGAACCAAAACTATCACTTGTTTGAAACAAACGGAATATCCTGGCTCACGGATTAAAAAAAACGTCCTCTCCCCGGTGAAAAATGAAACATTGTCAACATCCTTAAATTATTTCCAGATACGCGGAAAGATCTGCAATGATTATTACGGCAGTTTCCGGATTGTGTTATGGTTTGTTCTTGTTACTTATTGTTGGAATTTACTTGTCGGAATAAGCGAGTTCTAGGTATAAAAATGATAAGTTTCATTATTTTATGTGCCTATATTTTAAGTCTTAGCTTAGCCAATTTATCTTAACTTTTTAATATCTGGGAGAGCTACAATTTGCAAGAACGCAGTATTTTGATGATTTAGATGTTCTTCATTCTTTGGCCAGGTTAATAAAATTTGCGCTAGGCAGCTCTTAAGCTGGGTACGCACTAGAGCGTTTTTGACGAACGAACCGAATGAGCAGCCACGAAAGACTGCTCGAGTTGTGCGGCAAGTGCGGACGGGTCTACGAACGGCTCGAGCGTTTCTCCCGCACAAGCGGAACGAGCCGAATAGCATCAAAAGCTTTTGATGTTATTCGGATCGTTCCCGCATTTTCCAGCCACGAACCGCTGATTTTTACCGCCCAAAGTGCATCAGTTGACCGCTTGGTTAAGATGGAAAGGCATCAAGTGGCAACCGATGCTTTTTTAATTATATTCAAGTTGTTAACAAAGAAGAAAAAATCTCTCCCGCGCTTTTGGATGAGAAAGTTATGTAGAGTGCGTGAAAATAATTCGCTCGTGAGGGATATTGACTTCTTCCATTTTCAAAATTTAGTGCGCATGAGTTCAGTTGATTTTGAGAAACTGCTCACTATAATTGAGCCGAAAATTACGAAGCAGGTGCCCAACTTCCGTGAATCAATCCCGGTATCCAACCGACTAGCAGTCACACTGAGATTCCTAGCAACAGGGGACGCATACACAAGTTTGCAGTACTTGACAAAAATCTCAAAGCAAAAAATCAGCGAAATAGTCAAAAGGACGATCATCTTCGCGCTCGCAGCGTTCCCGCGAAAAAAGATCGGATCGTTCTGTTCCCCGCGTTTGAGTGTCTGAACATGTCGAATACGTGCTTAAACTGCTCGCACCGTTCGGCTCGTTCTGTTCGTTCGTCAAAAACGCTCTAGTGCGTACCCAGCTTTGACTATACGTTTGAATATGCACTCGGCACATTTCCTTGGAACCAGTATCAAAACGGTTGCCAAAGGCAGCTCTATATATACGTGCCAGAAAAAATGGATGAAATTCAAAAATTCGTTAAAGTTTGGCAAACTCATCGACATGTATAGTTGATTGCCCTCAAGAAGGGCGATTTATTTGGTTGCATTCAACTTAGTCGTCAATTTACTGTAGGTGTGACAGAGGCCAAAGGGCTTTCTATAAGGATTCTAAACAATAATATTCATTTTGGAAAAAATAATACACTTCTTCCTCGTCCGGAGATTTGTCTATGATGTTTAAGGGCTAATTTGGTATTTTAAATTGGAATTTTGGACCTATTTTAAAGGTGACAGGTTTTATATTTGATCGTCATTCATAAGCATTCTAGCTTTGCTATTCTTTTGGATTTTTAAGCGTGACTTGAATGTTTGAAGCGGGAATTGTGACCAAAAATTTTCGAATGGCTTCTATAAAAAATATTTTATTTAAATAGTAACTATACAGAAGTTTTATAATTCAAAATGTATGTACATTTTTACAATATATTTTAAATATATATACAGTTCCATGTTACACTTATCTAATCGCAAAATGAACAGTATTTTAGTAGCATTCACAGTAAAGGTATTCAAAGGAGTTTGAAATGGGAAGCAACCTTTTAATATTTTATTCAATGTATCTTAATTATTTAAATTATCACAGACGCTCTATACTAAGTATTTACAAAAGAGGAATAAAATGAGAGTCCCAATTGGAACATTCAGCTTCGACGAGCTCGATGTTATCGTCTTATAGGATGGCGGTGGCACTTCTGAGGCAGTTGTCAGGAGAAGGGAGGATTTCGGCCGCATCATGAATTCATTTATAGCCACTTTGTCCCTGAAAAAAGGAACGACTTCATTATATAAACCTGCAAAGTAATGTATCTTCAACCTGCGTTAGTCGATGCATGAATTGAGCCATTATCATTGGCGGATTCAGCAAATTGGCAACATTGTCTTTCCTCGATTTAAACCTATGGAAATGCATCGATTCTTGGAGAGGTCAGGTGCTATGACTAGAATCGATTATTTAGCATACATTTAAATGGACGAAATCCGGTGTTGCCAAATTGCTGGATCCGCGTCTGGCCATATCATGTTTCGTTCAATAAATTGCCGTGTTTTAAAAAAGTAAATTAAAATATAAATAATTAAATAAAAAATGCAACTGAGGTTCATCCTAGAATCGTGATAAATACGCCCGCTTTCCAAACAGAAATTTAAGTACTCGCGGTTTCATGACAGTGATGCCACTTTTTACCCATAAAAAGATACGCAAAGGTGAAAAATAAAATGACCTGGAAAAATATTCAACCGCTCTGCTGTTTGTAAAGATACACATTTAGTTTTGACATATTCTACATATTATCCTTTCATGTGAGGAATGAAGTGAGCTTTACGAAAAATTATTAATAGGTAACTCAATTTTTCAATATCTAACTCAAAATAATTATGAGCTGGGCGTTTCAAATGAACTTACCCGGGTTGATGTTGGGAATTAATGCTGCTAGTGTGAACGGTGAGCGTATCAGGGATGTCATTCATGAACGCTGAGAGGTCTACAGGAGCTGTTTCACTTCCCAAATTGACGACGACCACGTAAGTGTCACTGCCATTTTGACGTCTGTGGGAAAAAATAATGGAATCAGAATATCTTTCAGTGCTGAATTCAGCTTTTCACAATCAAAGAGTTGATAACTAAACTGATTGCAAGTTTAACTATAAGATTACATATAACCATACGAATATTCAACTTATGTCATCACCAGAAAAAGATTGTGTCGTTTTTGGGATTAAAGGATGCGCTTTTTTGCGAATGCATTAGTTTTGATAACTTAATATTCCCCGGATTTCCTAAGCTCTAGCTTATTGAGGTGGTACAGTCCTGTTTCTTTTTAAAAAAATGTCAAAATAATGCAGATGCATAGCTCCATACCTAGCAAATGAGAAGACCCATTTAGAGAGAACGTGGGTCTCAAGGGCACCATACAGCATCGTGTCTGTTTTCCGCACATCTATAAGCCGTTTATATACTTTGTAGTGGCTGTTACCCTCAGACTGAACCTGTGCTTTTAGGTTCAACCGCCAAAAGTTTGAGTTGACTGGTAACCATGTTTTCAAACTGGCAGAAAACCCTGAAAAAAGAGGGAATATTGACATTAGTAGGTGCACGAGATCCATCTGCTTTAAATATAATCTCTGTGAATGAGTTGTAAAGAGAGTTACAATGTAATTGCACATATGGAATGGCAATTAATCTCCTGTAAAATTCATGGCTAGTCATTCCATCTATAACTATGAATTTTCTATCAGTTTTTCCGTGGAATTTCTCAGTTTCACGAAAGTTGTAAAGAGAGTTACTATGTAATTGCACATATTGAATGACAGTTAATCTCCTTTTAAATTCATGGCTAGTCAGTCATGCTCTCTATAAATATGAATTTTTCATTAGTTTTTCCGTGGAATTTTTCAGTTTTGTTTTAAAATTTAAAATTGAATTATTTAGGACCTAATTTTAAACAGTTAAGCATCCCCCACATTTGCACCATGTCATTGATTTAGAGTCTTATTCACGCCATAGGTAGTCCCCCCCCCCAAAAAAAAAAAAAAAAAAAAAAAAACCGACGAAACAACGGAAAATAGTAAGGTTAAAAAACATCTAAGAAATATTACTTTCCGTCTAAAAATGCCTCATAATTGGATGTATTCCTGCCAGACGGAGACCCATACGAATGTATGCGTAACAGGCCTCACGTCATAATGCACATGGTCCCGTTTGACAGAAGTACGTCCAATAATACTAGAAAGATCCTGAAAGGCATACTCTAAAGGGAGATTTAACTTTCGGTTTCGCTCAAGCAACACATTTTTTCAGGAATACTTGTGCACGAACCAGAGTTTAAAGTTGTGTCCCATTGGAAGGGAGTCCTTTCCGGGTCCCTCGTGACGAGGCGGTACTTCTCCTTGCCGAATTCGCAAGCCTGCGGGTCGACTCCCTCATCGAATCGAACGTTGGTGTCTTCCATTCCAATCTCGTCGCCGTAATAAGTGTTACCGGTGCCAGGTAAAAGGAGCCCAATCATGTTCAAACCATCCACTAGATCAGTACCGTATCGCGAAGCAAGCCGGTGGTTATCATGGTTACCAATCTGTAATATTGGAAAAGACACATTGTAAACTGGTGCACATCGTTCAATTAAGTTATACTATATTCCACAGAGTTTATTATCCTGTTAATTACCGCTACCAAAATTGCAATATATCTAGTGTGCAGTCGGCAAACAATGATAATACTTTAATGTTACTAGCCAATTATTACCTCTGCATAAGGAGAGTAGATATCATACTATTTCGTGGCAAACATAAATTATTGACGACCATGGAGCGCGCTTACTACCGTATGGTTTTTGAGGAAAGATGATGGAATTTGGTTCTTCTCCATTGGAAGTCGCTAGATAATGCGTATCAGGTGTTGATAATAGTAAACTTAAGTAGTGTACCTACACTTTATCATGAAATTGTTATATTCCATGCACGTTTGATACAAAGCTCTTGAAAAAAGCAAGTAGTGCTTGAAACTATTATCTGTGAATGGTATAGATCGCAAAAACGATAAAAGATGTTGAAATTCAAAATCTAGTTAATAACACTTTGATTTGATGCTAAGACTTGTTCTTATCTGAAGGAGCAACATCCTCAATCTTATTAAGGTACCTCTCCGATTCTGATCGCTCCTGTCTGTCAAGATATACGATCACTCACGCACTTTTAAACACTACTTCTAAAAAAAAAAATTAAAATATGCTGACGTATCTTGGTTGAAGTGGGTGATTTGTGCCTCTTAAAATTTCTTCCAAAGGATAAGGAAAAGGAACTATGATTGATTTTCGTTTAATTAAAACTGGATTATTTCGTGATCCCACATTTCCTCCCTCTTCCCGTGAATAATATATGAAAGCCTTACCACCCAGTTGGGCCACTGTCCCTCGGGCATTCCTGACATCCAACTTTCAATGATTCTTTGGTATTCCTTTGCTGGTGACCGCCCATCAAGAGAGGTGATGAATAGAAAGTTGAAAGGCATATGAGCACCAGGTTTATCACCAAACTTGTAGTATTCCATAGTTTTATCCAGTGATGTGTATGCCTCTGTTATCATGACCCTGCAACATAAGATGTAAATATGTTATATTACGAATTGAGAGCTAATCTTGTGCTTGGTACTGATCTTACTTTGTTAATTCCAAGTAATCTCAGTTGGTGCTCAAGTCACCACTTATGTGTATCAGATTGTTGTTTTTTCCTAGTTGCCAGAGCGCACAAAATATAAACAGCAACGTTGAATTAACAAGCATACGTGCTGTGAACCGAAATTAATTTTGAAAGTTATTCCTGTGCAGCAGAAGTTCTGACCTGTGTTCCAACATACCTCCGGAAGAAATGCAGGTTCCGATCTTAGTTTTGGGATTTGTTCTAGAATATTCTAACGATTCTTGCATATTTTTTTTAAAAAAAGTTTGGAATTAATAACCATATCGTAATTGAAAATATTGGAACAAAAACAACTTAAAAGTAAAAGTGTATTATGTTTTAAAATTTAGTTCGATGGTTTGAGCAAATTTTTAGAAAGCATTACGCAAATGGATCATTTGAAAATTCCTTCATTTCGGAGGATATGCAATTTGATCTCCAGAGAGTTAAAATAGTTGCTCGAGGTAAAATCAGACTTACTGTGGTTCTATAGCCTGATTCTGCTTATGTTTCTAGTAATTAAAAATATACTATCCTTGCTGGTATGAGATTAGCGTGTCTTACTTACTTAGTCTCGCCATCTTTCTTTGAGTAGGCGTCAAAAATCTCCCTGAACTTGGTTATTAATCTGTATGTTGCCGGTTGGTCCATCGTGTGGCAACGATTGTAGCTCTTGAAATCCCATGGATCTAGATCCGGGGACAGTAATTCTTGATCCCTATACTGCGGATCTTCATACAAGAAGGTAACAGCATCCATCCGGAGACCATCAATCCCTCTGTCTAGCCAAAATCTGATCACATCCTATTCGGCACATAATAACATCAAAATCATTAAAACGAAAATATACCGAAACTAAGGATGGTCTCCTGCAAGCACGCTAGAAAACCAATGCATTCTTGAGGATATCGACGGTGAAACTACCAAACCACGTATCTCGGTTTGCGACGTCGCAGACTTCCTGTCATACTTTATTTTTTAAATGAAAAACTACTTAACTCTAGTCTTGAAAATGTCTGTGATTTATCCTCTTTGTGCGGAGAAAATTCCGTGAAAATTTCAAGGAATGATATTGATTTGGTCTACTTCAAAAAAATAAAATGTGAGCGTAGATTTTTAAACACCGCAAACGAGATACGTGGTTTGGTAGTTTCACCGTCGATATGTGAGAAAAATACTATGTCTATCATACTTATTGGCAGATCAATGAATCAATCGTATGTTATACTCGAAAAGTAAATTGCGGCCAAAATCAAAATGATCGATTGATGATCCGAGACTGTGGTCAAGATTGTAGACCTCAAATCTGTCAATCAACAACTGTTGCAGCACTGAGGGTATCTCATCTATCTCAAAACTAAAGGTGAAATGAAAATTTTCTGACTCCTCCAAACTTTTTTGGGCACATCACGATATCTGCAAATGTAGCCTTAATGAAATACAAACGCATCTATACTAATAACATTTATTAACTTTCAGAGATAAACAAATAGTCTTGTTCTTTAAGAATATGTGTGTAGTTTGACAATGTAATTACCGCGAAAAAACCCTCAAAAGACTTGGATGGTATTTTTCTAAACCCAACAATAACATCCAATTCAACATTCATGCATATTTGAGGACATTTTTGTAGAAAGAGACAAAATTTCTGAGGGGTTTAGATATGCACTGAGATAATCGCAGAGGAAAAGAATAAACCCCTTAGAATAATACACCTTTCGTGGAAAAACTTAATCACTTCTCCATTTCCGTTTTGATTTGTAAACATCTGTAAATCTGAATACGCACCGTCATCTCTTTAACGAGTTCTTTGCTGTTGTAGTTTAGGTCAGGCTGCTTGTAATGGAAAAGATGGAGATAATATTGTTGCCTTTCCTCATTCCAGCTCCAAGTGTAGCCTCCAAATTCACTGATCTGTATGGAAGAAATGATAATAGTCTCAGAACCTTGAATATTAAGATGTGTTCATTTTAAGTGATTAGAAAGAAACTTCTCAAAGTGAGAAAACAGAAAAGAGTGGATGGCAGTGTAATTGTTCCGAAAAACCTGGAGAGAATGTGCATGGGGGAATTTTCAAGGTAATGTCGGATAAATTTAAAAAATATTTTTTGTCTAAATATAACTAGAAAAAGGCCCAGGGGGTCATGAAATCATAACTAAAGTCCTAAAAGCGCAATTTAACTTACCCAGTTAGTCGGTGGCATCCTCTCTCCTTTCGCGTTGAACTTTGCGTCTTTCCAGACGTAGTAATTGGTGTATGGCTCAATTTTTTTGATAGATTTTTGGAACCATGGGTGCTGATCACTCGTATGATTAGGAACAAAGTCCAGCAAGAGTCGCAATCCTGAGACATGCAAAACGTTAGAGTGTAATGATGGGCTAGGCAAAAATTACATGTTTACCCTATGACCAAAAGAGTTTGTGTTTCAGCTGGGTACCTAAATTATTTTTTTTTTTTTGGGGGGGGGGCATTTTAATTTCATCAAAAATTTCTTGTCACCAAAAACCAATTGCTTATTTCAAGAAAAGAGAGAGAGAGATAAAAAACGATTATTCCATAAATTTCCTTTTCAGCGCGGTGATATAGTTAAGTTTATTGTATTAATTCGAGCACTCAGGCAAATTATTTGGCATCATTGCTTAAAGCTTCCCAAGGTTTACTTTGGTTTCGGTAAGGATGTGAATTAAGAGAACCTTGAAACTGGCCTATGGTCGTTGCAGAAAACCCTGAAAATGTTTGATTGCTGTGATACAAAGGAAAGGATGTATACTTGTTCACCATAAATTAAGAGAAAATATGAAAGAACTAAAATTATATAGATGAAATCAATAGAACAGAGCAACTTAGATATTGAATCAAAAGCCGCAATAGAACTTCGTGTTCAATAATTATGTACAAAAATACAAGAGTTACATCAACATAGTGTCATCAAATCTGAGCTGCTCCTCTTTAATAGTTGTGAAAATGTCCGTAGAGCAGTTAGTGAACTAATTTTCATTTACCTGCTTTATGTAGAGCGTTTTTTAGGTATTCCAGATCTTCCAATGTTCCGTAGACCGGATCAATTTTAGTATAGTTTGAGATGTCGTATCCGAGATCCAAATTAGGAGATTCAAAAATGGGGTTCAGCCATACTGCCGTCACCCCCAGATCTTTTAAGTACCACACTTTCTCTGCAATACCTAGAAGAAAATATTTTTACTTAGGTGTTGAATTTCAAGAATTGGTTGAGAGTTCTTTCCTAGACTTGTTGTAATAAGGGGGACTTAGCCCAAGAAAGGGAAAAAAATAAATAACAGACGTTGATGAAGTTCACTTCTCTATCTTATACTCTTTTAGTGAAAATTGTCTCCCTTTTAAGAGAATTTGTTTAATTGCCTACACTGTAAACATTTGTTTTAGCAAACGCAAGCAGAAACCTTATGCAGCAAAAATTGTGACTGAAAAGTGACGATTCTCGTAATTTTGCAACACTAGATTTCGTCAATTTAAATGTATGTAAAATTATCGATATACATTTCAACAGACTGCTTCATCTGCAATCGATTATTTGCAATAGGGTTAAATGGAGGGAACTTGTGTAGTAAACTGAAGATATTGCCCCAATGGCAATATATTCGCCTTAATTAGATCATATTTCTGTATCATATATTCTATTGATTCACTTTTTCTTCTCCATCTACTTTATCAGACTTATCTCACCACCTCTGAATGTAACTGAGTAAGAAATCAGTCACATCAATTAGAAATTCGCCCATCCTTTGCTTGTATCACCCAAAGTTATGACAATAATACTATATATTAGGAGCATTCCACCACATCGTACATGCGGAGGCCCACACATTACAATTACTTTTAATTGGATTTGACATTAATTATTCTAATTAATATTCAACCCCGCATACCTCTTAAATCCCCAATACCATCTGCATTGCTGTCACGGAATGATCTTGGATAAACTTGATAGAAAACACCTCGCTGCCACCAATCCAGAGCTTGATTTTTCAAGGCCAACGCCTCACTAAGATTTGTCGCGTAGCCAAAAATAGCCAAATATAACGCAAACTTGTACATGTTTTTGAAATAAAGTTCCTTTATGAAATTATTTAATATAATCATTTGGCGGGTCAGAGGTATGAGGTGCACGAACCACCCCTGTGGCTCTCAAACAATTCAAGGGGAACACTATAGAATGACTGACTTGTGAATGAAACGCGGAGATGAATTATAATGACAATATGATTTCGAGTCAACTCTCCTGATCTATGAGTTATGACTCAAATGAAACTGCAGAGCCGAAGTATTTGGCGGAGAGTGAACTGGTTCTCACAAGGAATGGTGGTTTTATATACCCATAACAAGCACTTGAGTGGACTTAAAAGAGCACTTGAAAGATGACTCTAAACAAAAAATAGTCCCCTTCAGCGGTTGCAAACGCGTAAATTCGTTTGTTCGTTATGCAATGTTGTCGAATGCATTCGACGAGAATGAATTTTATTTATTTATTTTCTCCCCGTATTGGCTGGTTAACAACTCGCTAGCATGTATGATCATTGACACACAAAGAGGAGACAGGAACTCTGTCAATTAAATCAACGTCACCAGCTGAGCAAATCAATCCAACGAGTTGCAATTTTAAATTGAATACGAGGAAATTAACGAAGAATACGGGGAAAAACGTACAAAAAGTAATAACATTAATGATTAGCTCAACCATTTTAATGTTTTTGTGACGTCACGTAGGACGTAGGTACTTTCAACATGCAGAATATAAATTGCACTGACCGCCATACCTAGACTAGGATAGACTATATTCTATTCCGCCTCTATGTTAATTTTATTCCGAACGACAGAGAACATCTCAGGCTGACTGAGGAGGTGGTGAACATTTCGACTTTCTCTGATTCACTCCCACTTTAAAAAAATTGACTTTGAATGATTTCCCATCAAATTAAATAATCAAATGAAAAATCTGATAGGAGTAGGTAAATTATTTAAAACTTTCTAATTCAGAAAATTCCCTGAAGGTAAGATATTCCAATTTTTTAAAGCTAAGGGAAAAAACCAACAACAGCTACTATTCCGACTGAATAATTAATATGCCTTATGCAATATTTACTCTACATGCCGATTAAAACCCCCTTAATATTATTAACCCTGGAAAATACAGGGAATTATTTGACAGAACTCTTTACGTTACAGACAGCATGTGTCAGCTGTGCTCATAATTTTCAATTTCGACGTATTTTCTCTTGAACAATTGAGGGGCTGAATTTTGAACATTCTCAAAAAATTATATTAAAGTATAACTTTTCATTCATTGACCATTATGGTGAGCACAATTTGTAAGTATTTATTGGCGACTCATTTGAAATCATAAGATATGTCTAGATTTTAAGCGCCTCGAGAGGCCGTTATTGCAAACCCGAGACGGATATTTTCAGCAACTATGAAAATAAGCGGCAAAAACACCCTACGAGTGGTCATCCTAAGTCGCAAGCAAATGCGGGCACTGTAAGAGGTCTGCATTCATAAATTATTTTCCACTCTGAGAATGCACCATTTACTTCCCTTCTCACTTGTTGCATTTACGGCAAAAAGAATGTTTCAATTTCTATTATACCAATCTGTTTTGTAACGTGTTTGGACACATGGTAAATTACTGAAACGGGGAACATAACTCACGTGTCTTGACTAAATAAACTTTTTAATGGTTTGTCGGATTGGAATTAAAATAAAAAATTCAACCATGACTGCCTTCAAATCATTATTTTAAGCTCCGTGACTTTCTAAATTTTCATTTTTCATCACATTTTGCAATTCTGTTCTACTGCCCTACTGGGCCGATTTAGGATGCTTTTTTCGGCTATCGGCATGCAAATAGTCTTTATTAGACCTACTCTTCTCAGATTTTGGAGATACGACCCAGGTTTTTTTCTTCTTTTTCTTATTTTTTTTTAAACGTGACACCTTCTTCAATTATCCCATTTATACATTGCAAGTTTTTATTTTTTGTCCCAATGATTTCCGAAGATCCACCGAACCTGTTTTCATTATTTTCATGGCCATCGATATGAGATGGTCGCTAGATGAGCCAGCTCTATTCTGATTAAATCACAGCAGCTCGCTGCGAAGCGTCTTTTGGTAGTTGTAATTGTAGACACGTTTTAGAGTTAAAAATGGTTCTATCATAAAGTCGTCATAAACCATCATGAAAAATACGAGTAACTAATACAAATAATATTAACGTTTTTTGGTTTGAGAATTGCGGCAAAAAAGGACGACCCTTCTAAAATCTTGGATGTCTGTGTTTTATTTTACATCTGCGTAACAAGAGAAAATGGAAGTGACCATCGACGAGGACACCATCATTGAATAATGACTGATGGATGCAATTTTATTTTTTACATTTGAAGCTAGTAAAATCAACAGGTAATAATAGAAAGGGTAGAGAGAGAAAGGTAATATAGTAAGTAACAGTGTTCGAAACTCACAGGCGCCAACGCGCCAAATGCGCCTAAGAAATCGGTGATGGCACCTAAAACATGAAGGTTCTGCACCAACGTGGCCCCTAAAAATTGCCCCTCCCCCTTCCAAAAAAAATCAAAATTTTTCTGTTTGGTGATTTTTCGAAATTTCCCTCAAGTTACTAGTTCTGTAACTAAAACATATTGCGTCTAACTTTTCACTGAATGCGCCGTGGTATACAGGCAAGAAGTCAATCTGGCCCCTAAAAAAACTTCAAAGGCCCCTAAAAATCGAGCTTGATGCGCCACATGGCCTCTGAAACTCAAAGGTGAATTTCGAACACTGTGATAGTAATGACCTTTTACAAGGACACTATTGTTGATAATGTCTTGTTGCTACAGTCATAATTTTTACATTTAGAGGTGGAATTGATAGGGAATAGAGTGCACTTCCTATCCCGGCGACGTTTGTTAGACTTGACATTGCACTCGTTTTTTATGTTCACAAGATAGTCATATTGTCAGCGGCTAGAGTAGGTGTTGATTTTCTCATTTGCTGTTTATCAATCGCGTACTTGTCCAACGCTTGCGGCGGCTCCAAAAACAACTAGTAACATCTCGAACCCTCTCGAAGACGCGCTCTTATTTCTCACAATGAAATGACGTGTTCGGATACTCATCAACATATCTACTAGAGCTTTTGAGCACTTGAAATTTGATTTCGTGTCGCCTCTGGATGATCGGCGCCGATCAAATCTGAAGAGGAGTCACAGAAGTCATCTATGAGAGCATCGTGCCTTCGATAAACACGACTAGGCATGAAATTTAAGAGCATCTAGAAGTTTAAGAAATAGTGAAGAAAGCGGCAATATCAACATGACCTTCATGCAAGCATGATATGATATGGACCGAGTTCATCAGAAAAGAACCGACCCATATTTTCGAAAAAAATGAGTTAAGAATATGTTTTTGAGTTCCACTCGTTGAATATATTCCACTCCCAAAAACTCAAAGTCGAGAAAAAAAAATAGTCTGCGTTAAGAGGGGTTAAAGTTTATTCTCTATATTGAGCCTTATGGAGAAATAATATTTCAACTCCTTATCTCAGTTTCAACTTAATGTGGGTTGGTACTTTTCTGTTAAACTGAGTCCATATACGAGTCGAAGGTACGGCACAGTATCGAATAAGGTAAAAGTCTCTTTCAAGCTCAGTACTAGATGGACTTTGGCTATACAGAGGTACTGAGAGGCTCATAAAGTACAGGTGACCATTAGAAACATGCAGGTTGGTATTTGCGCTTGCAGTGGCAATTAATAACATTATCCTTGGAACATCCTCAAAATATATTTGCTGTTGGTTAGCTCCTCGCAGGAATAGTCTTTTATGGGACCAGGACGTCCTCTGGAGCTCAAGAATGAAATCAAAACAAACCTCTATCCACCCACTGACGGCGCTTTAGACGCGATGTGTGGGTTTATTCGGAAATACTGATCATGTGAAGTTCACCTTCAATTAACCCGGCTAGCAAAAAAACACTCAGGGAAGCGGAAATGTTAATCTGTTTTGGTACCACGCATTCATGTCGTTTCATGCTTTGATTGATATGTAGGACTATTCGTAGGTTCTACTACCTGAAATTTGCTTTTAATTTAATGGGATACACACCTAAAGCCTTTGGAAAAATTGAGTAATACAGATAGTCAAAACGTATAAACAAAAATCAGTTTTCGTTATCTCATAATGCACAGATTCCATTGGACAAGTTTAACGTCATTTCAGGCGCGGCGGACCTGTCAAATCAATACAATGCGATTGATAGATAGCAATTTGACAGAATTTTTACCAAAATACCAACTTTTTGGGTGTCTACTTTGTACTAAAAATGTTTCATTTTCTTTGATGTTGCTGAGATTGTCACGACTTGTTTTTGGAGACTCCAATTTTCAGGGTGATGACCCCCGTTTGTTAACCCCCCAAGGATGGGCCGGGTGGATTTGGGACCACGAAATTTGTATTGCTTGGGGTCGATTCCTGATACATCCTCGACCAGGCCCTATACTGTGACTCAAACTAAACAAGAAATTCGTGATCTGAGTCACCCTGTATAGAGAACATCAAGTATGAGCGTTGTTCATGTCACCTCTGAATGACGCTCCCTATGTATTAATCTACGAGTGCAAAACCTTGCAAATGTTTCAACAAGTATTGAAACAAGAAATTCGCGTAATGAGACTGACTTTGTGGCAAGGACTCTTTGCTGACGTTACCAAGGATTGACGATTAAATGACGTTATACCTAAGTGCGGCCTTGTTTAGATAAGCAAAAGACTGAGGTTTGATTTCACTCCCACGCGTTAATTGCAATTAGGACAAGGCATCACGAGCACGATGCCACATTGGCGATGACACAGTAAAAGAATTAATGTGGATTGCCGAAAATAAAAGAGGAGGATATTCAAGTATTACGATTTTCATTTTGAAGACAAGTAGTTAGATTATATATGTTTTAGAGCCAGGCCTAGATGGGATAGAGAAGTGAAAGTTAAGCGTGACGTAATGGTTTTCATTTAAAAAATTGCACATTTTATGGGTGAAAAATTAAATTTTTGTTGTTTTTTCAAAATTCTGGTCAAAACAGAAGAGATTCAGGTCAATGTCACCAAAAATTGTACTTTACAAAGCGAAAACTGACATTTATTTAAAACTCAAGAAACAGAAATATCAAGAACAAACAAATCAGAATGATGAATTTAAAGAACAAGAGGACAAGAGAGATTGCTTAAAAACTGAAAACCGGAGGCAATGCACTGTCGTCGCTGGCCGCTAGGTTTTTACGATGCATTACTAGATGACGTAGGGACTA